ATTGTTGAACGTAGTTTAGTATTCAAACGGTAGATATAGGCATATTTTTATCCCCTAAAAACTTTTCATCTGTTCGGATTTCCTAGCTGAAAGTCTAGTGATCCGAAAATTAAAGGGATAAAAACTTACCTTCTCAAAAACTTCAGCCAGCTGGAAAAGGCTCCCGAAAATTCTAGGTGGCCTTTTTTAGGGTCAAAATCCGTTAAAAATGGGTAATTATACCATTTTGTCGATGTTCGAAAATCCTAGGAGAGGTAGGCAGGCAAGAAATTTTACAACAAAAGCTCCGAAAATTCTAGATCTCATATCGTCTTCCGAACAGATATTTTCCCGAAAATTGCCGTTGGGTGCCCCTGTAGTGAAGAAAGTTGCACCACACTAGTGCAAGTTCCTGAAATGTGTATTGAATTAATATATCTGTCCTTGTGACTGAAGATATTTTATGCCTATTGGAATACAGTATGTGTTTATCTTCTTTTTCCTATATTTTCACAATCCCCATTCAAAACAGTTAGCATAAGACCATCTTTTCATAGGAAATGAATGGACAAAAGTCAAAGTGTGTCCCAAGAATGTTATGGGTTTCACCATCCTTAGACTACTGTAATGGCGAACATACCATCCCCAAAACATCAAGTAAACACATATACGTTTGTTATGTGATTATATAGTAGTCTTTTGATGGTGAAACTCATAACATTCTCGTGAGATAGATGAGGAACTAATAACCTGAAGCGTGACTAGTATACTGAAATTGTTCTTTTAGCAGAACATGTATTCACTAAGTAATATAATGATACTGAGATTTCTCACATTTGCTATCTAATGAGCATTTCGCCAGAGTAAATCTGCTAGGTCCAATCACATGCTGATTGTTAGTTCTGCAGCCCAACAGTATATCCAGCTGATTTTTGTTGTCTTTTCAACTCTAAATTATCCGAAGTGAGATATCCCCCGTAGCATTTCTAAGCATGTTTTATCTGAAGGGCTCGTGATCCAAAGAAATGATGAGTCCTAGAAACGAGAAGCCTAACTCGAGCTTTTTTCTGCTAGATGTTCGTGCCCAGGCTTCTCGCAGGTTGAGTTTGGGATGCGCTCTCCTGATGCCGAACGCAATATGACGTGTCACTACCCGGATATGGTTGATCTGATTGGTTGAAGCAATTTTCCTCCGCGGCACCAATCAAAGAGTGTTATTGCGTTCGACGAAGGAGAACGCAGTCTATTCCTCAAGGCGCGGTTACCAATGTCGTAGCGCGGCTACCGAGCATGTTGAGGCGCTTTCTGACAGATTCTTCACATTCCTTTGGCTGGTCTCATATTTGTGCCGTTTTCGTCGCCATTTTGAATTTCACGCTATGAGGCAATGGGCACGCACAAATTCATTGTCACGTGGTCAAGTGCTTCTCCAAAGCAAAGTGTGACGAGGATCAAGCCTGCGCCAGAGGTTATCAGAGACTGGTGAAAACTGGTCCGATATCAGAAGAAAATTTAAGTTCAAAGTTTAATCTTTCAGTAAAATGGGTACCAGGGGTATAAAGGTGGAACAGTCCTTCAGTACATCTGGTCTTAACGGGATAAAGAAATACTAACTCGAGTCGCCGTTTGAAGATCGCTCCGATGCTAAAATGAGTATACTGACAGAGGTAGTTGGTCAATTCTTGTTCAGGTTTACACGAGGCGTACAGAGCATTGCAATCTAGAGGAACCTGAACTTTTGGCTACAATCCTCTAGAAAGCGCTGGTCGAGAATGGTATTATCAACCAGTCGATGAGCTTATTTACCACTGAAAAATACGGTGACAGAGAAGCTACCACATGGGATTATCTCGGGTAGACCGATCTTGATCTTAAAGTTATTAATGCTTGTTCACCAGATGAAGGACAGATGAACATCAAAAAGATGACCGAGCAATAGTTTGGAAACGGCTGAGGCCATCCGCTTTCTGTACAATAGGCAAATCAATTTTTCATATTTGCTCGGAAAGAGCAACCAGTGCGGTATAAAGTTTTGAGATATAGGGGTCCGGAACAGATTAACGTGAATTGTGTGCCGAGAAAGGTGGCAGTGAGAAGAGAGATCAAAGCTCCAATGTACATTGATTTGCCAACCGTATTGAGAGCGGGTGGCCTCAGGCGTTTCCAAGCCATTGCTCTGTCATCTTCTTGATGTTCATCAAGGTAAAAAGAAAAAACCTAAGGCGCAGAGAAGACGCGAGAACAACCCACCCAAGGGATGGCAGCCTGAGCGTCAGTAATCCTACCAGAGCATTAGACACCCTTTCAGGCTACCATGGAAGCGCAGGAAGAAAAACATATGAAATGACGGAAGAAAAGGCGAGTAACGAAAAATTAAACACAGGCGTGCAACAAACCGTATGGGAGCCGAGGGAAAAGAACCGCAGAAACCCGGCGTTTGTGAGGCAAAGCACGGAAAACATAAATTACTAACAACGAGAGCGTGCAACAAACTACGGGAGCCGAGGGGAAAGCACTAAAACTTTACGGGGGGCTGAGCGATGAGCACTGCACAAACCGCAGTTAGCGAGGCAAGGTATGTACGAATAACACCGCTATTGGATAAAACAAAAGCAAAACATTAACGTGTAAAAACCTTACGGGAGCCAAGGGAAGCGCAGTAAACAAACTGGGAGTAGAGCGCCAGCGAAACACAGGCGAGGGAAAGTTCATCCGCACTGGCGATTGGTCTGCTTGAAGCAGAGCTGGAGCTTGTGTAACGTTGGCCGGGGCAGGACCGGTTCGTCAGCCATCTTAATAAAACAAGAATCGGTTAACAGAGCGAATGGATTCTTACGCGACCTGGGAGAAATGGGATGCGGAGCTCTCATTTATACTCGCGTTGCAAGGGACTGGCGCGAATAGTTTATACGTCACTTGCACATCTCCCACAATGCACCTTATTTGCCCTCCAAATTTTGCATGAACCTTTGTTTTTCATTTCTCCTGGGTATTACAGCCGTCCCAAGAGAAATTGAAAACAATGCTTATGCAAAATTTTGAGGAGCAAATAAGGTACAGTGGGAGATGTACAAGTAGCGTGTAGCTGCAATGTTTTCAAGGAATTTTGAGCAAAAAAAAAAAACTAAAAGAGTTTTGGTGATAAATTTGGTTAAAATTTCTAAAGATTTCCTTTTCTTATTTCCATATTTTTAAAAATCACTGAAACAAGGTTTGGTTTAGACCCCGTTTGTTACTTTTGAATAAACATTTTGGTCTGCGTTCCATACGCGGACGTGTACCCTTTAAATTATGGGCTCACCTTTTATCCAGTTATGAATATCTTGTAAACCTGTCGAAATCCGTCGTTGTTCTTCGTAGCCCCAGTTGTCCACTTCGACCTTGAGACTATATTTGGGCGTGGATAGCTATGGATGGACATGGACTGAAACTTGAAAAGTAGGGTTTAATGCCTACAAAAAAAATTGTGCCGATGGGTAAAGGCACGCACTGGGTAATGACCACTACAGAACTGAACTAAAACAGCAATACATCAAAGAAAGACTATCGCCAACTCGTGGGTACGTTGTTTAGAAAATAATCAATTAGTTATCACTTCTGGTTTTCCCACAGTAAATTTTAGGAAATGATAGAAATTCAGATTATAAGTATACTATCCTTGTTCTGGAAACACAATACTTTTCTTGCTGTTTATTGCACTTTATTTATTTACGTATATATTTAAAAACAAACAAACAAAAAAAAGCAAAACAAATAAGCAAACAAAACAAAACAAAACAAAAAAGAAAAAAAAAAAGGAAGAAGGGAAGAAGAAGGTCCATAGTAGCATATGAACCCGGTACCTTCGGGTTGACCCGAACTCTCATAGCCACTACGCCATTGAGGATGAACACATGAATTGTTGAAAAGTCTCAAATATAATGCCTTTTCCATGGAACTTCCGCCGGTAAACCATCGAGCCATACTTAACCGATTGAAAAAAGGACTCGAGGCAATCGGATGAAATTAAGGCTAATTGAAACCAGGCTACTGACAGTAAAAAACAATGTAAACGCATTTCATAGCAATGAAACAACATATGCGATACAAAGTCGACACAACTCCTCCGCGAAGTAGGACGCAAAACATAAGCTTATGTTTTCTTATCTCAATTTCCGCTGTTATTTGAAAGCTAATGCTCAAAATCACATCCCGTTTCGCCCCGTGATCTTGGAGAGTCCTCAAGAAGAAGAAGAAGAAGAAGTGCCTTTATTTACCATACCATAGGCATTCATTCATAAACATAACCTACTACATCACTACAAGGTAGGAGATCAAGCCAGCGTAGAAGTTGAAGGAGTCGAAGAGCAAATGCTCATCTTCTCGTCAAGTTTAACGCCTGGACGAGTCAAAGGCTCTTGAATCGTACTAATCTGAAAGATTCCTGCGTGTCTTGAATTTGCTAAGACCTCTATCCTCTAACCGTGCTGTAGCGCACGATGCACGCTCTCAGCGAGGAATTTGATGCCACCGAACTTTGGCGAGCGCGTGCTTCTTTGGAAACGATAGATCTTCGCGCTCCCGAGTTCGGACCCGATAGATTACGAAGGGCGTCTACTACGAGTGAGCGAGTGACTCATTTGCATATCCCTGTCCCTGCAATAACTCGTGGTACGCTCGCGCGTACCCACGAGTTAAAAATGATATATCCTCGTGACATATAGCCCCTTTTAACCGACAAATAACTGCGCGTGTTTGATTTTACCCCTTTTTTCAACGCCCGCCTCTTAGAGTATAACTGCAACAAAGAAGCGGAACGCTAATTAGTGCCCCCCTCTTTTGTTGAACTCGTTATATGTTGAAGAAAAGTGTTTATACAGGTGTATTTTAATTTGGTTACGAACCTTCTTAACTCTATAAGCCTCAACCAAAACGTGGAACGTTCATTCAAACGTGGAACGGTTAGTCACTTTATTGGGACAAAGCGTCCTTACAACTCATCCAACGGTTTAATAAAACTTAGCGACGTTTTGTTGATTAGTAATAAGTTCCAAAAGATTTTCGCTCGTATAAATAGTTAAGGGAACTACGTTCACAATTGCCACTAAAAGGTGTCTTTTCCATCGTCTTCGCAAAACAGCCATGACCGCCAAATTCTGATAACGAGTCTCGATTGCCAAAGAAACGCTAGTGAAAAACCATTCAATCACTAGCTGAAATGAGGTGCTCTTGGCAAATAACTGTAATAACGGTAAAAGTGAGTTTTCTCGCAGGCAAAGAAACTTGTGCAAGTAAATAAACCCGTTAACTGACACTATAGCAGTTGATTCAGACAACATGCTCATGATAGCAATATCAGCCATGAGTCTCTCACGGCGAGGGGTGCGAAAAGTCCCCCAAGAAGCTGATTTTCTTCTCCACAGCACATAACAAATGTGATCAATTAAAACCATTGTACTTCGTTCTATAACTTCTCCAGCACCGTGGACGATTCCTATTGTAATGATGAATTGTAGATTGTCAAGATCTGCCTGCAAAACTCGAAACATTATCGCTGTTCCGTAAAACAACGGCACAAGCATAACATAAGAATATCCCGGATGAGTAATGTTATATAACCGCTGAGCACAGATGCGAGAGAACGTCTTCAAAACGACTCCAATAATAGGCGCAAAAAGAGCGAATAAAAATTTGTGATTGCTTTCGACGTAATATGGATAAAGAGAATAGTAAGAAATTTGTGCCAGTAGGAAAGTAAAACAGACAGGTACCATTAGTTGAAGGAACAAGGAAATTTTTTTTATTGTTCTTGAGCGTGGGCAGAAATGATTGGTCACCACGTACAGTTCCAAGGAAACGCAGATGATAAATATTGCATGTAGTGGAAACCGTGCTAAAAAGCTGGAAATGCTCACATGAACCGATAAAGTTAAGGCTCGAAGAAAACCGCGATAAAGTGAATCCAAACAGTAGCAAAAAAAAAGAAATTAGACACAAGAATCTTTTTACCCCAAACAATTGAAACGGACGAAAAAGAAAAATCAAAATCGTAAAAGGCCAAATATAAAAAAAACCACTGCAAATCATACCAGAAATGGTTATTTGCCATTGCATTTGAGTTGATAAGGAGTTGTCTGAGTGATTATAGCAGCTTAAAGTTAAACTCTTAAAACGCACGCAAGATATTACGGTGTGTGTTGTACCCAAAAAGGTGGCAGCAAGAAGCGAGATCAAAGCTCCAATGCACATTGATTTGCCAACCGTATTGAGAGCGGGTGGCCGCAGGCGTTTCCAAGCCATTGCCCTGTTTTCGTCTTGATATTCTTCTGGTTCTTCATCTGGTGAGCGCGCATCGAGAACCTGGATATTAAGACTGTTAGAAGGTAGATAATCCCATGTGGTAGCTTCTCTGTCACTGTATTCTTGGTAAATAAGCTCATCAACTGGCTGATAATACCATTCTCGACCAGTGCTTTCTAAAGGATCGTAGCCAAAAAATTCTGCAGTGAATTCAGGTTCCTCTGGATTGTAGTGCTCTGTTACGCCTCTCGTAAAACTGAACAAGATTTGACCAACTACCTCTGCTAGTAGACCCATCTAAACGAGCGAACTTCAGACGTTTGAGACCAAACATGAAGACTCCATTTACCTTTATATCCATGGCCAGTTGACATGTCCCGCCCTTTGACGTTCATATCAATCAACTTTCTTTACGAACGTATTCTTTCCCGTGCTCGTTTATTTTCAATCTAAATGAGATTGTATGCGCATCTTTTCATAACAGCTACTTTCGGTCTAATTGTAAGAGTTAAAAAGTGAAAGGCATTTCTAAACGTCTTTGTGATAGTTTACCTCAGGCACGGAGTTGTCTTTCACCTTATACTTGTGGCCAGTTGACATGTACCCATTTTTCTTTTAAGCCGTTCATGTTGTTTCTCTGCTACTGATCAGTAGCAATATAGTGAGGGACACTTCAACGACTAAGATAAAGTGTGACGAGTGATTATCTCAAGTGCGCTGACTATACTTTTTAAAATTCTGGAAATTTCGGTTAGAAACATTCCGGTTTGGTATGAACGTTTCATACGAGACCACCTCCCGAGGTAGTCCACGTAGGTCGGTTTTGTGCAAAAGGCCGAAAGTATCGTTCCATTTCCTTCATGAAATGAATTAAAATATGAAGAGTAGTTTTCCCTTAAATGGAATTCTGATCTGTGGATCGCAAATATTGATAAAACTATATTTCTATTATTGTATAAGAATAAAAAGACTTCCTAAACTGTTTAAATAGTGCGGAATTAATTTATGACTTTGACATAATAATCCTTGACAAATGAAAACATTTCTGAAATTGGAGTGCATATTTACAGACTAGATTTTTAACATTTCTGGAAAGTTCGGTTAGAAACCTTTCACTGTGGTATGAATGTTTAGGCTTGCGGTCGCACAGCGTTTAAGATGGAACGCATAATGCTAGGCATTCTCCTTCGAGATCGACAGCGAAACACCTGGATCCGTCAAGAAACTGGCGTAAGCGATATC